GAAGGATGTAATCCAACTCCCACCTAGCAGTCGCCACGAGGAGCAGTCCGGGACATGAGCCAACGGCTCAACAATAACGGCAGTGGGTCGACGATCTTTCAGGATCTCGCCACCACAAGCCTCAGCGCACAGTGAACTCTCCCGCCGGTTTATATATGTATGTATATGCCTCTCGCTGAGGATGATGTTTTACACAACATGCTTCTACAGCGCAGCTGGACTGCACCGACTAAAGCTAGTTCTTTTTAATTCGCTCTGTTATGTTCTTATGTTGCATATTCTGTACCAATTTTGAGCGTTTATTCTCCTTCAAATGCTGTGCTGACTATTTAATATCCCCTATGTGGCTTCGCTTAGTGTGAATGTTGACGGGGTCCCTACCTGCGTTACACTCTCCACCTCATTTACTAGCTCCACGAGAATACTACTCTCTGCTAGAGTGACGAGCTTCATGGTCCTCGTGCCCCTGCTAGGCTCAAAGGGTGGTTCCATGCATCCACTGTAGAGGGGGACTACGGCACATTCATCTCCTTGTATAAGCCTGGTACGCATGGTTTTCAAATTAGATAGACAGGAATGCTGCTGCTGGGCATGTTGTACGAGTGTGAACCGGCTCCATTAATGAAACTTGGCTCCCATTCACATTTCTTCTGGTTCTATTCCTTGTGGTTCTGAATCTTCATCCCTGCTATTAAAAAGAGGCCGAGTCGCTTCCTTTGTGGATCGTCGTGGTATGTGTTTGATCTCTGTTTCCTCCAGACCAAGTTACTAAGAAAGCTCGGTGGTCTCAACCACGGAGTGGCAACAGTCGAGTTGCGGGTTCGAGCCCTACCAGAGTCCGATTGAATGCGCACTGCTGACGATTCCCAAAAGGATGCAACGCGCGTACAGTGCTTTCCCGGGCGTATGACAGCTGTCTGAATGTGACGAATTTTTACCTATACCATTCAATGCCCCCTACTATTCTTCTGTTATCAGTACGCAGGCCAAACTGCTTATAATGTCGTAAGTTAATTAGCGGCCTAAGTTTGGTAAGGTCGTCGCTTCGTGAAGGGCCTACCCTGTCCTCTGCACGGCAGTAACCTGTAAGTCAGCGGATAGTGAGCGACGCTATATTACATCTAGCAACTTATGTACGATGGTCTTTGCCGTCCCCCGTAGCTCAATGCTCTCAACCACGCACTGGCAACAGTCGAGTGAGGGTTCTAGCTCTACCAGAGTCCGATTGAATGCGCACTGCTGACGATTCCCGAAAGGATGCAACGCGCGTATAGTGTTTTTTTCAGGCGTGTGATGACTGAGTGAGTCTAGATGTGACGAATTTTTACCTATACTACTAAAATAGAGCTGCTGCATAGCGTTGTTTGATTCCTCCCTTGTTTTGTACTCTCAAATTTTAACAGAATTTTACAGAATTGGACCGACGTGCTACCACTATTCACTATAGCCCATTGCTCGCTAGAAACTCGATCTGCTTACTTATACGGACAGATGCGTCAGCGGTGAGCTTATCACACGCATTGGTTGGACTCATGTTACTTTTTCATGCCTCAATCACGGTGTGCTATGAAGTTTCTTGGTATGAGAAGGGTATTGTAACGCGGCGGTGCCACCAGTGGTTCTTTGCGTTTCAACTCCACCCTGAGGGCTTTGGGAAGCTAGTCATTTTTCGCCTATCGATGCCTGTCCATGTTACTCGTTTATGATAAGAATTGATTGCGTAACACTCCATTTGCCATCTGGTATTTGTCAGTGGGTACTCCATTATCTTGCTGAAGTACCTTTTGAGCTCGAATCACTTTCGATATCTTTGCGATGTGTTCCGTAGGCCAGCGTACGTCGGAGTGTGATGTTCTCCAATCCCGCATCCAGTTCCGTCAGTGACATGGTTGGGTCGGATTGGCATTTATCAGGATTGTCCACATCACTTGATACTCTAACGAGTAGGGTACACTCGCGAAATAAGTGCTTTTGCCGCATTTCTTTCCTTATATCTGGACCGTGACTCCCTGTCGATCTTATTTACTTCTCAACCCATTTGCGTTATTATTATTATTATTATTATTATTATTATTATTATTGCCCTTTTTCTTGTTATGTTGACGGTGGGGCTTGGTAATCGGCTCCACGGCACGTCCCATTTCAGACCACACTCGCGAAAGCTAACTATCCTGAGCACACGCATTCCTAAGTATTTCCTCTACCGTTCTATTCCCTTCATTTCCAGGACTTAATGCTGACACTTTATCGGTTGGCATCACATTCATATGCGCCCTCACAATGCCCCCCTACCCAGTGGTATTGTTGCAAATTCAGTCCATTGCGGATCAGTATTTAATGACTGTTGTTTATCTGTCAAGTCCAGGGGCCTAAACACCAACTACTCGATTGCAATTGTGCACAGTGAATAACCAGTGTAGTATAGTGCTGTATTCCTGTTGGAGCTTATTTAAGCGTCCAACCGTTGGTTATTCTCCCACTGTTTCGTTGTGATGACTGCTTCTCCCGCCTGACAAAGCAGTGCTCCATGTTACGTGACGGATGGAACGTGCTCGATTCTGTTTCATGACCAAACCTGTCCGATTTGCTTGCTGTTCAGTACTGAACCTTTAACGCAACCACTGTTCTTTCCATACCACCACTGATGAAAGTGTTTATCTATTGTATCTGTTTCAGTGTCAGTTGCGATGACCACTCTTTGTACTACAAGCAGAGAATAAGTTGCGTTGGCTCGGGCACGTGCTACGTATGCCTGCTCGTCGCTTACCTAGGAGGGCCTTGTTTAGTCTGCTATTGGCACAAGGCTCAATGTGGACAAAAGTTGACTTGACAGCGTGAAACGAAGTCATTGACGACCAAAGTGGCTGCCTTCGGTCCGTCTCGCCTTCCGAACTGGAGTCCACGTAACCCGCCTTGTGCTTGGTCGAGACATGGCTCGCATTCAGTACCATTGGCATGTCTGCTGCCGTCTCTTAGTCAATCGACCTGTTTAACGTGTGTTGGGTGATGATTTATCTGCTGGATAGTGGCTGATAATGACGCGTAGCAATAAAAACCGCAACTAACCTGTCTCGCCGATGCCGCTTTATCTTTGCACGATAGCCAGCTGTTTGTGATGGTGTGTTGCTAACGCAAGCTGTAGGCGCCTTGACCCTGATTGTTTACTTAGGGCATTAAGGTTTTCAGGTATGTCCCCTTCTCTTCCTCTTATTATTCTTTATTCCATAGGCCATCATGGTTGTATAACAGCGAAGTATCAGTTCAAGTGGCTGATATACTATTGTTGTTGTTTGTTTGTTTGTTTGGAGATTCCAGCGTAGTGTACGGTGGTCGAGATACACTTCCACTGGACTTCGATATACGTGGGGCAATTAGATGGGATCTCCGTGTGCAGAATATCTGTTTGGCTGAGGTGTGAGACCAGTATTCGATTGCTAGCTGAGGGAAACCTTTGATACATCCGCTAATGAAGTTCATGGAAAATCAGCAGCGAACCATTGCATGATCAGAGTTGTTGCACGTGTTCACGTGACGGGGCATCCCAGGAAGAGGCAGCGGCTACCTGAAACTTTTGGCCATATAACCTATGTGTGTCCGTAGCTGGCCAGCTATCGGAGGACGCGAACTGGCACTACGGTGGCAACTGTGCTGCTAGGAAACAGCTGATGCTCGGCGCACGGCTGCAACAAACGCTCATCGTAGTTTAGTCCAAACTTACCACCTAGACGAGTGTCTGAAGAGTTTAGACGCTCGTGCACATTCTTATCCACTACATCCGGGATCACTAACACCGCCAAGAGAATGTCGTTGGACCAAGATCAGGCTGTGTGCATCATCAACAGCCGTTCCTCAGCCATTTGAACCGGTGCTTCGCTGCCATAAAATCGTAACGACTTACGGAATGAAGAATACTAAAAGGGAGAAGAGGTTGATTTACCTGAACGTCTCAATCTCCCAAGCAGACATTCAGGTTCAAGGCGCCTACGCTTTGTCAACAACATACGATCACGAACAGCTGGCTATCATGCAAAGATAAGGTGACATCGCAAGATAGCTTTCCTGCGGCTTTCACTACCAAGCGTCATAATCAGCCAATATGCCGCAGATAACTCAGCACCAAACACTTGTTAAATAGGCTATCCGACTAGGGAACGGCAGCAGACAAGCCACTGGTGTCGACTGCGAGCCATGTTTTGGAGGTTCTCGAGCCAGTGACAAAGCGAGTCACGTGGACTGCAGCTCAGAGGGCGAGACGGACCGACGGCACCAAGTTTGATCATCAGTAACTTCATTTCCTGCTGCCAAGTCAAATTTTTTCCACTTCGTGCCTTGCGCCACCCTGCATCTGGCAAACAAAACAAGGCCCTCCTAGGTAAGCCGTGACGGGGCATAATTACTACGTGCCCAAGCCAACGCATGTAGCTCCTGACCGTGCCGTCGACACTGCGTTTATCCAATGTATGGACAAGCGCCACTTGCTGACTCTATCTGTTTTAGAGTGGAAGCTTTTTACGCCGTCGAGTGAATAAGACATTGTGGTTGAATGAAGGGCTGCTTGTGACTTATGCCTATCTAGTACTGCTGGAATCTGGTTACAATTGACAGAACTCCAGTGATACTTATGTCGGTTTCATCAAGCATAGTTATCCGGTTGCTCTGGTTGCAATGGCCACTCACTGTTGATTTGACTGCAGTAAGATCACTTTTCACTTTAGTCTTGAACGTCAAGATCGAAACAAGTCGCTAGGTGCTCCTCTTCGTACACAATGATGGAATTACGTATTTGATGATGCTATATTTCATGAAATCTGCATCCTACTGAATCATGTTACATGAATAGCCACTGTTTCAGAATTCGAATCCACAATTTCAGTAGTTCTCGTCATGTCCGTCGTAGTTTCTCAATCGCGTACTGCCAGTCTAATCTATCATCCACTTTTCTATGGCTGTTTCCAAGTGTGATTCATCTTTATCTGTTCACTTTCGGTTTTCCAATTCAGAACAGCGCCCGTTTACATGCGAACACTGTGGTGCATCGTTTACACAGAATGACAAGTTGAAAAGGCATATTAGATGTACTCATTCGGGTGAGTGTGTATCTGGAAGCATTGCTCTTTTCCGATTTTGCCATATGTGTAACACGATCGTTGATGATGTTACGTGGCTTCGAGGTAATCAACTACGTTGCCCATAATGTGTACCCTCTACCGGGACGCATCCTTTCTGCAGTGATCAATCTTCCCCATCAACAGACATGATTTGAAGCGGTTTATTCTCTTAGATTGTTGTGGTAGCATGCCGTAGTCTTTGGTGGAACGCTGATTGAATACTGAAATTAGTGAGCGAGGAGATATAAATCTGTGTTGCTCCATCGTCGTTAAATCGGACACCTGCTCGGAATCGCGTGGCTGATTCTGCGCGGTGGCAGCATATTACAGCTAGACTATGTCTTATCCAGGTGCGATACGCTCCCTGTACCTGTAATCCGCAAAATATACGTCGGGAAACCTTAAATTTCGACATCAATTTCGCCTGGACTATTGTCTGGCAACTTGTTCCAATATTTCACCACTCGATTATCGAAGTATAGAGAGTGAGCTATTCGCTTCAAATCCGGTACCACCAGTTTTTACCGCTGTCCGCGTGTGCTGCTTGGTGCTCTAACGTGCAGCAGCGGTCTCAGCGTAGGGAAATGGCCATTTCCATGCGTCACTATGAGGTCAAATCAAAGCCGACGATATGACAGGGTATACAGTCCTTGTCTTTCCTTAAACTTGGGATAAGCCGGGTAACTACATGCTGGACCCGTTCAAGTCTATGCACCTTACCTATTTTAATTAAACAATGGGCGGCTGAGCCTTACTCACACACCGGTCTGATCATGAGAATGAACAGCTGAGTTGCAATGTCTGCAGACCAAGTGCAGAATCTGCATCTTAACGCCCAAAGTGATGTCGACGGACTTCATAGCACACCGTGGGAGTACACCTAAATGCTTTGCGAATCGTTTGGGATGCAGCGGTTGACCGGATAGGGTGTACATATGCCCATTACCATTACGATCCTTCCCCAGACTCATAAATGACAGTTTGCCTTGATTGAGTGGCAGATCAACCTCTGCAGAGCACAGAGATAGACAGTCGAGGTCCTGCTCAAGGACCTCACTATCATCGGGAGAATCATTAACCCTCTAAGTCTTTAGGTCGTCTCCAAACAATGCACAGGGCGACCGAAGAAGCTGAGGTATTTCATTGATGTGGATCAGGAACATAATGAGCCTTGGGGTACGCCGCTACTGGACAGGTGCCATTTCGTTAGGTGGTCATCCACCTGAACCCGCTATTTTCTTCCAATGAGGAAACCACTGGTGCTGTGCACCACCAACACCACAAATCCTCAGCTTTTTCTGGAGGACCTCGTGGTTCATTTTATCGAAACCGTTTCTGAAATCGAGTTGGATAACATCTACTGATTTCCCCCTGTTCAACGCCTGAAACCATGCATGCTGCGTCAACAGCAGGTTGGTGATGCAGGTGCGGCCCTTCATGAAATTGTGCTGTGCGGGCGTTGAAAGACCTTTCGACGCTAACAATTGCAGAGGGCTCTTTCTCACACTCTTCTGTAGCGCTTTCTCCAAACCACGGATCAGACAAATCGGCCGGTAATTGTCCTATTTAGTCGCCTCATCAACTTTCGGAATCGGCATCTCTACCGAGCAATTCCAGTTGCCCGGCAATGCACCTTCAGACAAAGATCTGTTGTATAGATCAGTCACGGCAGACGAGATGATAGCCGCTAGGGACTTTAGAATTAGCCGATGGAGGCCGTCGGCTCCGACAGGCTGCGTACCCTCGAAACTGGCGAGTGGGCTGCGAACATCTTCTACATCGCAATACAGGCACTTGGGTTCCGTAGTAGATTCTTACCTCGAGTTCGGCATACGCGCTTGCCCACCCGTAAATACGGAAGCGAAGCGCGCCGCCAATACGGACGCATTTTAGCTGCTGGATGTCAGAACCTGTCCATCCGAGCCCTCTAACACTGCTAGTTCACCTGTGAGCTTCAGGTATCGCTTCATGTAAGGAAACATCTCGGGGACCAACTTCGTTAAGGCTGCAAGCTCCTCTTCAAACTGTCGACGCTTTTATCTTTCTGTGCTGTTGCATGGATTCCGCTGCCTCTTTTCGGCCTCACAATCATCGCTAGAACTAAACACGAGGAATTTACTTCACAATACGTGTCGCTGTCGAGCCAGTTGGCCATCCTCTTTGTAGAACGAACGTGGCTTCGCTGGTTATCATCATCAATATACACGTTAGCTAGAGGTTGGAAACAGCTACTGTGCCGCAACACCTAAAAGAAAAGAAGGGATTAAAATGCTACAGGTGTAAGCCAGCTGAGCTACCGGTAACGGATGATATGGTTTCGGTAAGCTACCTAGCAGCTACTATGCAGCAGAAAAAATAATTTACTATGCAAAATTATAAAAGGCTAAATAGTGAGATCGTGGTTGGGAGGAGACTAAGAGGGATGCGGTGGGATAAAGAAACTCACAGCACAAACGTCACTGAGATCGGCTTCTAGCCATATCAACAAGTTTATCCAGCCAAACGTATTCATCGTCTTTCGGACCCTAACCAGGGAGCCAAGACGCTCCAACTGAGGCCACCTTCCAAGTGAGGGCCTTCATTCCTCTCGACCAAGTCATCACTTGGCCACCTCTACTCTTCTTACATCCACACCCCGGCGCACAAACAGCGCACGTCGCGTGAGTCGATGGGCTGGTTTGCGTACCACGGGGCCGAGCAATCGGAGCCTGATGCGTGAAATAACGATGCATAGCGGTTCATTTCCTTTTCCTGGGCCGTAAACAAGGTGGTGAACACGCTCGTTACTTACTCGGTGTTCCCACGAGATGTGAGCTAAATTGCGAAGGCACCGGTGGTCAAAAGTAACTAGCCTCTTTATGTACGTTGATCTAAGGGGCCAGATTTCACAACCGTACAGTAGGGTCGAACGTACCGCTGCATTATACACTCTACCCTTCAGGGCAAGAGTGATGTCGCGCAGGCGCCTTAAGTGGCGAAGGTTAGCTAAAGCGTCCCCCGTTTTTACCATATGGCTCGTGATACCATCTTTAATCCCATGGGCGCTAATACAACTTCCCAGGTAGTTGAATTTGTGAATGACTTCTAGGTGATCTCCACCAAGAGTCAGCGTAGGAGGCGGTCCAGGCCAATCTTGGACGAACGCGAGGGTGCGAAGCAAAGCCCAAAGTAACTGACAGCCAGTGCTGATCTGTCCAGTGCCACTTGACACGTTAGTGAGCTGTCACTGATTAGGGCAATATCGTCAGCATACTCTAAGTCAATAAGTCGTTCTACTGGGAGCAGATCTACACTTGCTAAATTGTGTCCTGTGAACGCGATTTCCATGACTTCATCAATAGCGAAGTTGAACAGGAAAGGTGACAGCGGGCATCCTTATCTCACACCGCTGGAGATATTAAAGGGCAACTGCAGCTTGCCTAAGCCCTCACTCTGCCTGAGCTGCGCGAGTATAATGACCGGATAATATTTACATATTTCTAAGGTACACCTTTCCTGAGTAGACAGTCCCAAAGTGCACGTCTACCCACCGAATCGAATGCACCTTTGATATTGGGGAACACAACAAAAGTCGGCCTTCATTATATGTTACGTTGCTCCAACAACTGACGCAAAGTGCAAATGTGGTCAATGCACCAACGACCTCGACGAAATGCGGCTTGCTCTTCACGAATCTGCCAGTCAATCTTTGAAGAAAGACAGAGACAAGCACTTTGGAGGCGATGGAGATCAGACTGACTCCTCTATAGTTGCCGCATTCCGATCGTGAGCCTACCTTGAAAATTGCGACTATGGCGGTGCTGCTCCAGTTGGTTGGGACAGTTTTCTGCTCCACTGTTTCATTAGTAACTCTTATATATCATTCACAAGAGCAGGACACAGAATTTGAAGAGGGCTGGAGAAACAACTGGTGCCGCGGTTTTGTTTAATTTTAACAGTGCGATCTCATGTTCGACTTCTGAGCGAGAGGGTAGATCCAAAGGGACAGCCCAGGGAGCGGGGCGATCAGTGGCCAGCGAGAAATCTAACAATCCCGACTGATTAAATTGGCTTTCAAAGTGCTCAGCCGAACGCTCCAAGCGGTTTGACAAGTTGCTGATGGGCTGTCCACTCTCGTCACCTGTAGTTTTAATAACGCCAGGTTTCCTTCTGCCGTTTCCCGTATCAGCCGGAATAACTTACGATGGTTACCAGCGGCAGCGGTCATTTCCATTTCTGAAACATGATGAGACCACCAGAATTCTCGGTTTCTCTTCAGTCTAGCACGAAGTTTTGCCCGGAGCACTTTGCGAGTTTCATTATGTTCGCTTCCAGCCGGAATATGCCGACGAGCGTCGGTAAGTTCCAGAGATTGCGAAGAAACCCAATGTCTTTGTTGGCGCTTAGACTCATTACTTAAACATTTTTTTGCTGCTAGTAAGGACTGGTGAATATGAGACCAGTACACTTCACTTGCATCCATTGAGCACTTAGTTAACTTGCATGACAGCGTACTTTGATAGGCATTTAGAACAGCTGGCTTCGCCAGTTGGCTGGTGTCAATGCGCTCACAACGTCGCCGTTGGCGTCCGCCAAAGCGCATCTGCAGGTCAGCACATACAAATGCATGGTCTGTGTCTACATATGTGCTCCAAATCGAGCGACAGCTCTGAACGCAGCTTCTCCATAGGTAACTTATCGCAATGTGATCGATTTGCATCCATAGCTAGTTCGAGGCTGGTGGGCGCCAAGTTACCCTCCGGCGGGTGCTGTGTCGGAAATTAGTGATCACAATAAATAAGCGAACATCTTCAGACAAATGAAGTAACTCCTCACCGTTATCATTACGGGAGCCTACACCATGTTGCCCACCCAGATGCAGTTCCAACTTAAGCGTTCAGATCCCCAATCAGCACAACAATGTCCGAGCTTCTTCTGTGGCGAAGGAGCTCGTTCAATTAGCGATAGAAGTCGTCTTTTACCGAGTCATCCCTAGAGTTTGTGGGTGCATAGGGAGCGATAACGAATAGACACCTGTTATTCCCACGGGACTTCGAAACTTTGGACGAGCCAGTCAATCGGACCGCACACATCCGGCTGCTGATTGGGATCCAATCAACCAGAATAGCTTCAGCCCGGGGACTCAGGGCGATACCAACACCGGCTTGGCCGGTGCTGGAAGCTGCATCGTTACCGGAATGGCGCAGTGAGAAAGTGCTGCTAGTGTCACCTGAAGATTATCGCAGAGTGAGCACAGAGCTCCAGTCTTGCGGACGGGTCTCCGATAAACAGCAAATATTGATCGAGAGGGTCTCTAATGTTCAGGTAAGTGTTGCCTGTTGACCGATCTGTAGCGATGTGCGTACATTGAGGCATGCCAATCTGAAGGATGATCGAGGGCTCCAAATGGAAGCTGATGAACTGGGGTGGACCGCATGCTTAGGCATGGGCTTGTCGATAGGGAAGGAATGACCCTACGCGTTCACATATGAGTTGAAACTAAAAGGTAACAGCCTATCAAAGCTAGGTGGAAGATTGCCAAGAATCGGGGGTTGAAAACATGGGGGATAACGGTGAAGTTAGAAGAGGACGGTAAGAGTGAAAAAGCTTAAGAGGAGGAATAAGAAGATAGGTAGGCTTGTGCAGTATTATCCAAACCCCTATCTACCCTACTCGTTACAGCAGATAGGGCACCGTTGGTTATCCTCTGCGGTGGCCAGAGAACCAAGAAACTTTTTAAAGAGATTTTCACTGGGACTGCTTTCCTATATTTCAGGGGCACGAAATAAGCGCACAACGATTGAACACCCTTTTTTATAACAGACCAACAGGTTTCTAATGGGCTCCCAGTAAACGCGCTCAGCAGTGTTCACTTTGCAGTAGATGGCGATCAAAACTGGGATTTCCTGATGTGTTCCATTCCTACAACTGTTGCAAGACCGATTCCTAAATCGTTGTGGCGAGTGTTCCCTGCGGAACTCTGCTGTGTGGTTGTGAATGCACCAGGCAGCAGTTCGATTTCCCTGCCTTCAGAGTGCAAATTGACTGGAAACCGGCCGTAGAGTGTAGTGTCCGGAGTAAGTACCATCGATTTTTTGCCGACAGCAAATTAATTTTCACCTTCACCTAGCTGGATGTAAAAATGTCAGAATAAAACAGTTGATGGACAGGGCTGTTTGTCGTACATTTTGCTACGTTTAACATTATGGGTTGTTGCCTGCATCGCAATTCTGTGGAGTAGTCAGTGGAGTCGCGCATCAGTCACGGTTGATTCGGCGCCGCACTTGTTTGACACGCACGTCAGTGACGCAACTATTGGGGCTTTCGGACGTGCAGCCGTACGCGCTTGTGGCTGTTCCCAGCGAATCCCACCGTGATAGTTGTTATTGATCCCAGTACCTTTACAGAGGCTGCGCCCATTTCCCCTTTATTTCGTTAACGAGTCGGGTTTGCAATGCCTTTGGAGTGATGCCGTTGTATGGATGCGGGCGATGACTAGTTGATGTTCATGACATGCTTAGGCTTTCGACCTTCGATAATGGGTGCTGGTCAGCCTTTCACCTTTGGTTCCATGCGTGACAACCAACACCAGTAAACACCCGTGTATATAATAGTCTTGATTCAACGTTTAATGTTACATCGTTAACGGTTCAAAAGATGACTCGTGAGGAAAACAAACGTTATACTTCCTTTTTTCATGATATCCAATGGATTGGTAGCTATTCCTTAGACGGTTACTCCCTCAGAAACGATTATCCAACTCATGGAGCTGGTATACAGGTTGTTAGCGTTTGTCCGCTACAAACCTTGTCTATGTTCATGTCGAGCGCAACGGTACTTGGTATTCCACGCAGGCATGTGACAATACCTCAGCCACTGTGTACGACCTCTCGTGTTGGCTTGGTTTGTTGCTAAATGCATGGAACCACTCTTCGAGCCTAGCACAGCCCCAATGACCTCTCTGTGGTGTGTTGAAGAACAGGAGACTTTCGATGCTGTTAAAGTGTCCATCATCAAAGCCATCCTACTAGTTCATTTTGACGCGACCGATGTGCGGTTTTGCTGTTCGAGTTCGGGTCTGTACTGTCTCACCAGATGAAAGATCAGAGCGCGAGGCTCCAGAACGTTTGCATACAACTAGATAAGGAGTTGTTGGTAATTATTCGGCGTTAAGAAATTCCATAAAAATTTCTGGGAAGAAAGTTTCCAAATTACTGCTGGTCGTAAACACCTTCAAACTGGATTGATGAAAACTAAGACATCGACTAGGTGTCATCATCTCTTTGCGATGTTTGGCCTTATCCGTCTCTGTATATGATTGCATTATCCTAGAATAGCAACGTTATTATGGACGCTTTAATTCAATTGTCGTTGTTTCGCGTACCCGTATGTATTTTGGAACCAGCCGAATTAGTCCATTTGCTGCAGCACTTAACCAGTAAGTAGGTGTGGGACGCTGGTATCCACTCCCAGACTGTTCGACCTTAGGATGAACAACGCAGCCAGTCAGACATTGACTGAACAAAAGGAGTCGAACTGGGCGTAGTTATCAGTCTGCGCCTGCTACTAAATGCTGGCATCGTTCCGTTGAGATCTTTGTCCACTTCATACTCTCCGGATGACAGGGACTCATCAGCATGTGAAACACGTCACCTGCTTCGTACTATTGGTATAGTGCCACGAAGTCTATATCCTAAGGTTCTGCCTCTTTTTAGTCGATACTCACATATTAGCATCTATTGTTTCGCACAGTAAACGCTCGAGTTCATTGGTTACCGCTACGGCCTTAGTGTGTACCCATTTTAACGGATCATTGACTATTCGGTTGATGTTTTCCTTGTGCGATTCATTTGTATTTCATCGCCTTCTGATTCACTATCCAGATGACCGCCCTCATGCGTGCAAACGCTGCAACAAATCGTTTCCCGAGAAGAGCAATTTACGAAAACATATGCAATCTGTTCATTTTAGTGAGTGTGTGGCCGATCTCATTAATTGTCTTTTTCCATTTTCCAACATTACATAGCTTTGGTAAATCAAAACATGCCCCACGTTTCTCACAACATGTCACTCACTATCTGGGGGTATCTTATTACCTAGAGTATTTCAATTTTCAGTACAGGTTCTCTAAGGTGAAACGAATAATTCTGTTTGATCGTTTGACGTCAACTCAGGTTTCTGTGGTCAGGCGGATCGAGATACACTTCAGGGTTCTAGTTAGAACTGTGTAACGCATTCCATACAACCAGCGGTGACTTCAGCTAAATCAACACCGGCTCTTCAACCGTTGTGATGCGCGTTATTCGCAGACGACTTTAGCGAGATATCTCAACGTCTCTGGTTCTAGTCCCCCAGTTCTGCTATCTCTACTGTAGTGCTATAGTTTGCCGACTCCTTGTGCTAGATGTGAAATTCGACTGTAGTGGAAGCGGTCCACAACTCTTCGAGACAGACACTCTTACATCTCACCGAATAGGCTTCTGGAATTTGTGTCCAGCATCTGTTCCCACGGTCTGCCTCAGTATGTTTCGTCTCCAACAGGAACTGACAGCATGTCTGACCTTATCTTTACTTTTGGTATTTCTTATGGAATTACTACCTTTGGTATACCCCTAATCTTTGACCTTGTATTCTGTGACCTAATAGTTTGAATTTTGCAGAACATGTCCGATATTGCGTTGCAAAGACTAAAATGCGAATGCGATGTTCTTCAGATTGCTCTTCTCAACAGGTAACTAGATTATATTATTCAAAACTTGTACGCGTCTGTATCTGAAATACTATTCACAGTAGAGCATGCCGCATGGATACGATGGCGCTTGAACGCGTTCAACTCACATACACTAGACTGATTCGGGGGTGTACTCGAATCAACCAACCTACCTACCAACTGTGGTGCAAGGCGCTAGAATATGAGCATATTTAGCTCAGAAGAATTAAAGTTAACTAGTCACTCATGCGACGTGACCCACCTATTCTCTTCATTTGCGACACATTCGTTACGCAATACGAAACGAAAGATGGTTAAGTTGCACACTAAACTTTGCGCAAATTTCTTCCTTAATAAATATGCGATCACCTGGGACCGGCATCCGTTATCTTTAGAATACTTCGCGTTTCTGCGTGGCTTCCGTGTTCACACCAGCAGTTTCCTCACGCTGGATAAAACTGTTGGGTTATTCAGCATAATTGCGAAGCCTATTATAAGGGGCTGAATGACATGATATGCACTCGAAAAGTGGCGAATATAACCAGAACGGGTTTAGATCAACGACTGATGCATTTGCGCCTTTCTCACCTACCTTGGCCTTTATTTCTTCATTTCCATCTCTTTTGCATTCTACAATTCCTATTGCCTGTTGTAAACACTAGCACGTTGGAAGCTCGGACACTACAACCCTAGCCTTCATCCTTTCTAGTCGTCTTGGCGTGAAAGGTTCGAGTGACGCGTTTCCACCGGGATTAAAGAAACATCAAGTCTGGAACTGTATAACGGTACTATTTACGAATGACTAAATGACCATGTACAATAAATACCTCACCGATTATGCTTCCAAACTCAAAACAGTTACAGTGACCATCGTTTCGGTCCGAGTCAACCAGTCTAGTTTCGGCGCGTCCGTTGTACGAAGGTGCACGATGTGTTTGTAAGACAGGTAAAGCAGTGGGATTGGTGGATCATGACAATAGAATGTGGTGTGGGTAAGCCTCAAGCGGGTGTGAATTTGGCCTGTTCGGAGCATTCACCAACTGAGTTACAAATACCCATACACAAAGGAAGGAATGGCCAAGCAGGCATACTCAGTGGGGACAAAAGGTTACAGACAGGCATAATCGGGGAGTAGTGAAGGTCACCAAAAGACGCTTACCGATGCAGACCATAAACAAACTTTGGCAAAGGTGCAGATGCAATTTGGGATCGTGGGAATGCGAGGTAATAACAATTCTAGAGAACGTAGGACGGAACGAGTTGGATATAGGTTTCACGAGGAAATGGGAGGATATAATCGACATGTAATGTTTGAGTCTGATGAGAATTACCATAAAGAATTCTTTACCCAGATTCTGCCTCCCTTGATTCGTTCTACTAAATGGAAATTTTTGGATTGCTGAGGATCAGCATTCCCCGTAATTCAGTCAGGGGAAGAAAATATGAAGGGAAATTGTGCTCCCGACGTCCGAATGTTCCCTACACTGCTCCTCAATATTCGATCCGGAATTCCAATTCCTTGACGACTGCGGTGCTGTTCTGGTCCACTTTTACCCACTCCATCCACGATGGGCGGATACAGCACTTACAACGGTACACCTGCACCCCCACTTCGCCCCGTTAGCTCACAGTTGTCCTTCCTGGAGCAGCATACAGAAGCCCCACCTCTCATCTGTGGAGAGCGAATGGCAGGAACTATTTCCTCATCTAGGCCACTCCCTTCTATGAACCAGATTTTCCATACGGCACTTTTATATAACCCGTTAGTTGTTCCCTTTACTACCGTCCTAACGAGAGCATCTTCCGAACTTAAACAGCTTTCAGTTACTCCTATCGGCCACCTACCTCTCGAAAACGTATCAGAGACGACTAAAACCACGTCCCCACGCACAAAATTCCTGCTCTGGCTTATCCATTTTTGTCTGCATTTCAGTAGGGGTAAATATTCCCTAATCCACCGTTTTCGTAACAGACCCCTTGGTTGATTCACTTGTCGCCTGCACCGGTTGTATCCATCTGTTAACTGGGCTGTTAATAATCCCGTCGTATTAGACCGGAGGATTAGTAAATCATTAGACGTGAGAGCTAGTCGATCGTTCGAGTCCTCCTTCAGTTGAACAAATGGTCTGTTGTTGACAATGCATTCTGCTTTGACAAATAGGGTTCACAGTGCCTCGTCATTTAGAGTCTGTTGCGTGGCGACCGATAACAGAACGCGTCTAACCGATCTGACAAGGCGCTCCCAAACCCCACCTCTGTGACTGGCCAATGGAGGGTTGTAGTGCCACTGTATTCCCAGATTCAGAAACTTATCATTGATCTTTCCCTGGGACCAACCCTTCATAGTGGAACGTAACTCAGTAACGGCGCCTACAAGATTGCTTACATTGTCACTGAATACTTCGGCTGGTGCCCATCCTCGTGATACAACTCGCACAAAACCATAACGAAAGAGGCGGTACTCAAGGTGTGGGTTAGTTCGACTTGTACGCCTCACGTTTGTGGGCATGTAAAGAAACATCCATATCGCTACTCTTGTTTTCTGCCGTGTTTGACAACGACGGCCTGAAGTAGTCCACACTGACTAACTGGAATGAATCTCAACCTCCTTCCACTCTAGTCATCGGCAATGGTGACATCAGCTGTCTTTTGCAAGTCAACAGTTTCCAATCCCTCGCTTCACAACTGAAAGCCCGTGAATAACCCAGTACTTGCGCGCATATCCGACCATGCATGAAAATGACCCACATGCCCTTCTAGTAGATGATAAAACCTGACCAGCAACTGTTACCACATGTTTAAGAGGTAATGTTATTAGGAATTTAAATGATGCTTCGTATTTTGCGCAAGCCATTGGACCCCCACAACAAAGTTAACCATCAAACAATATGAGAGACCCTGATTGTACCTTTTCTTTCTCACGTCCTCAACTCGGTGCCATAAACTTCCCTCTGCGCAATTCGAATAATACCAACTTCGGCCCTTTTAAGCTCAGACAACGTAATCAACCCGGTATGTTGTGGGACATCATCAGTTGCTCGTTTACAATTCTTTAGCTACGTCTTGAAGCGGGAAAGACACGCAACCGACTTTAATAATCTGATCCAACTTGAATACTCTCGAATTAGAGTACGCCATCTTGTCTCCTGCGACACCGCGTTTACTGGTTCCGATGACCGATTGAATTCTATACCTTCCGGCTCGGAACTCACGCAAAAGTCTGGTCATTCGTCTTGTTCAGCAGAAAGTTTAGTCCTCGGAACCAACTCTTCGGACATACCAGCGAAGAGGTAATCCTTGACAAAGGATCCGCAGGATTTCGATCCGATTTTACGTGCTTTCATTGACTAGGGGTCGACAACTCATGTATAGCAAACAATCGATTGCCAACCAACATGCTGGATCTGTTGGACATGTCATTAATGTAGTAGAGCACTGTAGTGGAGTCTGTTCAGAACCAGCTTTTCTCGAATCGTTGTTGCGCTTTTTCCGTTACCTCCTCAAACACCGTGGTAGCAAGCGCGGCCGCAATTAACTCCCACCGACGGATAGACACAGTCTTTAATGGAGCCTCTCTAGATTTGGCATACAATATGGCGCAGTGTATGACACCCGTTCCTCGGAATCTGGCGTAAGCGACCGCCCCGTATCCGTTCTCGGAAGCATCACAGAAATGTGCAGCTGTGGCGCATCTACAAGCTTGTCGTATCTGCGAATGCATCCAGGGATTTTCAACACACAAAAGGCTTTCAGTTCCCTTAACCAGGTGTTCCACGCTTCTTCGTCGCTACTCCTGATAGGATCATCCCAGTGAATTTTGTTACGACTTAAACCTTTCAGTATTAGCTTATCCAGCATAACCATGGGGGCTATCAACCCCTAAAGGGTCATAAATGGAGGATACAACAGACGGCATTTCTCTCCGAGTTTTTGACCTTTCGTCAGTAGAAAATTGGAAAACATTCTCCTTGCAATCCCATGCCAGCCCCAGCGTTCGTCGGACTGACCCAGATAACTTCCTTATCTATAATTGAGATTCATCACATTCAGCTTCTAAATCAGATAGTCGTCCACATGCCCGGAAAAACACTAGACTGCAGTTTCAGCCTGTTGGGCATCATCAGTTGTGCGCATCCATCGGATCCATCAGGATTCGAACCCATGACCACCAGCGGCTTGCACCGCCAGTCAGCAGCTTATACCACTGGGTCACGGGGGATAGCTTCGGACTGTCATGATTTACAAGCTAACCGTGATATAGCGCGTCTGATTTGGAAGCCGATTGTGATGAATCTCAGTTATCACTATCAAATCCCCTAATGAGTACATCAAAATTCCCTAATTGTTTGACACAGTCAGCGACATCAGTAGGCGGGACCGCTTCGTTCACCTCTGGGTAGTTACAGACTTATTTTCGTTTGACGAAACCCTGCTCTACTCAGTAGCTATAATTTGTGTCACGAACTGTGTTGCCCTTTCTACAGTCGGCATAGAAATCAGCAGGTCGTCGACGTAGACATTGTTACGGATTGTGCCCGACACAGTATTTTCGTGTCCATATCCCCACTCATTTGTCGTTCAACATAAGGCAAAATTTGCACAGAATGGAGACGATGTTGCTTCGAAAGCGTGAGCCTTCATCTGGTACTCTGCCACCTCAGAGCCGATCTCATTATCCTTCTACCAAAGGAAGCGCAGTGCGCCTCTGTCACTCCGTGGCCCCCCTACTTGCATGTACATATCTTCTGTCTGTTGAGATTGCTGCCTTCTCGTTAGGGAAACGTATCAGAATACCAATTAAGTTTACCGCGGTTTCTGGGCCCTGAAGTGGCTGTTCATTTAGGAACACACCGTTTTGCTTAACGGCATAGTCTTAACCGATTCTGAGTTTTCTCTGTTTTATAACAGGATGATGTGGCAGATACCACTTCGGAGTATAACCAGGTCACAACTGCCCGAATGGCACAAGAATCAAATACTTTTCCCCAACGTTCGCCGCTACACTTTCAGTCTATCTTCGTAGTGACAGATTACCCAATAATCGGCGGCTCAGACACTGCCGTCGGTCAGGTTAACTCATAGTTATTGGTAAAGTTCACTCGCCGATTTCTCCGCGGAAGGGCTAACTCGAAGTGTCCGTCTACCAACCGCACTGAATTCTTAGCGATAAATAGGACATTTTTATCGTCTACGGAGAATGAGCGACAGCTCGAATTCACACTTTCAAAGTCACTTTTATACAGAAGTTTAAATTGCGCTACTAGCGATATATTATCCGCTTGCACACAATTCATCGATACTCTAGTGTGTTGGCCCCCGCCCACGTGTCCCGACATTGTCCATCCTAGCAAGCTCTGCGGCAAACGGGAATCTCCGACCGCCCCGACACTGTTCAAGCTGCCAGTGAACTTCAGGTATATCTGCTCCCAGAAGAATTCGAACGCCAGTATCTTTTATATCATCAAATTGCACATCAGCTAAATTGGGCCAACGCCTCACAATTTGGCTGATGGAGCACGTTACATTATTCAGTGGTAGACGCTTTAGGCGCATTCTACGTTAACTGAATCGGAGCCATCCAAAGCCGATAGTCGGAAATTTGGAAGACCTGCGTCTAGTGATGCAAAATCGCTCACTGTCTGTACATTAAGAGACGCATTATCCACATTTATCCCGGCCTCTTGTAGGATGTCTTCCTGGACAAGCCTTACATAGGAACCGCTGTCCAATAGCGCATAGGTCTTAACCGACCGCAAGGGACCTATCAAAAACACCGGGACCACTCCGAGACATACGTATTGGGAAGCAGAACGGGTAGTATGATAAATGTTGGCCTTTTGAGGGGAACTCGGTGTCCTTTCCACATGCAACAGTGGATGGCGTTTCTCCCTTACACGATAGTCAACAGCCAACAGCCCGATGGCCTAGTCTCAGACAATTGTAACATCTACCATTCGATCTTACAAGCTCCCAGCAGCCAGAGACGTCTAAAGACAGAAACGCCGGGCATGACACTGTGTCGTGTATCTCTCTGCATACTAGGCATGCTGTTGCTGCTCTGACGATGTGTAAAATGCAAAATCACGGTCGGTCACCCTACTGTTGCGACTACGCCACATTCTGGAGACACTGAGTGCTCGTAATCCCCAGCTGACCAAGTCTGCTACGTACTACTCGCTCTTCGGTAGCGAAAAAGTCTGCCAATGCTCTATACAAAATGTCCATCCTTCTTGAATGAGGGAATCCGCCGCTTTTGCCCATCTCGACTGTAGACTACTGGGCAAGACGTGGACCAGTCGCTCAATGGCAGCTACCGAGTCTAAGTCAGCAGTTAAGTCCATTTGAGAAAGAGCAGTAACAATTCTCCATTTTTCTAGATAGACGTGATAAAGAATCATGTATATGTAATGCAGTAGTCAGCAGTAAAGACGTAAAAAGTGCTGATGGAACGTGCGCATAGTGAATGATCTATGCAGTGTGCGTAACAAAAACAGTAAAATGTGTCGCTGGTCAGCTTATCAGTGTAAAGCTATCGGCTGTGACGTTACTCACTGGTGAGTGACATTCGCCGCGTCGCATTGTTGTTAAGCAGACATTTGTGGTTTTCTATAGGGAGAAGGCTTACTAAGCGAAAACCCACTGCGTCCTGGAACACTGGTGTCGGTAATGTAGAACTGACACTGCTTCTTACAGACCAACCGTACACTCGGTTATCCACAGTCGGTTTAAGCGCAATATTTTCCTTTCGATGGCAGAATGACTTAGTCAAGGTCCGACATTAGTCATTGGAGCCGGTCGAATTTAGAGTTTAGAGAGTCGGTTAAAGAATTTCGTGTAGTGCTGTAAGCCACTGGCCATTGTGGATTTACAGCGAGATCCTTGGCTGACTTCGTCCCATTAGTGAGCTGCGGTAGTGTGTTGCTCCAATACTCACCATTCGCTGGTGTAAACACTGACACGACGGAAAGTTGGACATCCCTACCCCTCTCTCCAGCATTTTAAATTGCCGTTGTTCTTGATTTAGCCTTATGCAGTATGTTGCTGAAAAACTCCTATTGACCAACACAACACTGACACTTTGGAAGGTTGGACACCATGGCCTTAGTTTTCATCTTTTTAAATCACATTGGTAATAACCATTCGACGTCTGTATTACCAGCGCACATGCTGGTTCATTAGCATCTCCATAAGCTTTCTTTTTCTTACTTTTCTCCGAGCGTTTTTTCCATTTACAGTTTTTTCTAGCAATGTTTTCGTACGTACTTCTCTTTAGAATGTTGCTCCATATTCCTCAAGTGACAAATAGTCATTCGGTCCGGAACTAACGCAGCGAAGCGTGACTTCAATGGAACTCGCTGAAACCAAGAAGCGGCGGTAAAAGGTGACAATAGACCTACTCGACTAATAACAAACTGTCGCAACTATTATGCAACGTTTCTGTACAGTATGATCGGTCCTTTGTGTAAAATTGTCTCCTTTGTCGTGTAATAAATTACTTATTAATTTTTTGTTATTTACTTGTTGGTGAAATGCATTCGACGATTTGATATATACATATTTTATAAAGAGCAGATCTAACCCGTAAACGTGATGGATCCACAAATGTTGTCTCTAGACACTATAGTTCAGCAAAGATCGGAGACCTCATATACTGTACCGTATCTCTCGAAGAATTGGGGGTTATTGTATAAAATCATGAAATATCAGTGCCTTTATTTCGGGCAAAATCCATCCTCCATGTATCACACAGTTGTTCGAGAGCATTAGTTTCGTATTTGTCTTTACTAAGGCCTCTACTCAGACTCATTATGGCAAAGGGGAAGACGACTTAAATGTCGTCAGGCGAGCGGAAACGGTTTCATTTGCAAGATTACTTGGAACATTCCACTAATGTTTAGTTGTTACTTTGATGGACTCAGGATGCTCCCATGGAATCCCCAGCTACTCACTGGTCTGTCCCTTGATCCTGTTATTTAAACGAACTGATGGAGCGCGGTTGGTGATATGTGGTTTGGACCACAACATCACTCGAGCTGAAATGCCAAAGGACATGAGCTGGATGAGCAGAGCGTTTTCTTCAAAACACACTACGAGTCTGTCTTTAGCGCCACGTGTTTAAAGAAATCATACCGATACGTTTGGCGGAATTTAGCACTTAGGGGTCCGTATTGGTGCTTCTGAATTAAGAGTGCGGGGAAATAGAAATTCAGGCATCTACGTTTTGTCAACTCTGCAGCTTTGTGGAGGCGACCAACATCTCGCCTCATTTAGTGGATAATTCCAGATGTCAGATAGAGGACAGCCCTCCATAGTAACGGTGTAATAACTTAGTATTTTCCTTGGTATACCAGCACCACCCAGTATGCGCAGACGCGAGGCCATTACGCCCGGGGGCACCTCCGGATGTTTTGCCACTACCCGCCTGAAGCCGGCAGCCCCTGGCGAAATTGGTACAAACCCATGAAAACCCACCTGCGTCTGGCCGTGGTCGCAGTTACGTATTCTACTACGGTCGCAAAACATGTATGAATCGTTCCAGTACCTCAGAGGCTGCGTGCGATAGACCTAAAGCAGATCCCAATCTCTCACTGCAATCATATTCCCTAACAGAATCTGCTCCCCATTGCCTTATGGGTAAGGCTATTGAGCGACTTCTTGACTTGGAGTATGCGGACGATATTGCCCTAATCTGTGACAGCTTTCAAACATGCCAAATAGCACTGGACCGATTAGCACTGGCTGTCAATCGTTTTGGGCTATGCTTTGCTCCATCGAAATGCAAAATACTTCTCCAAGATTGGCAGGGACCCAACCCTGCGCTAACGCTTTGTGGTGATCCGCTAGAAGTTGTTCAGGAATTCAAGTACCTGGGCAGCTATATTAGCACCCGTGGGATTGAAGATGAGGTTACGAACCGGATAGCAAAAGCTCGAGGTGCTTTTGCTAATCTCCGCCACCTGTGGTGCAGACCCGACATTACTCTCGCCCTGATGGGCAGAGTTTACAACCCCGCCGTCCGTTCAACTCTCCTTTATGGCTGTGAAACCTGGCCCATCAGGTCGACAGACATAAACAGGATCGTCATATTCGATCACCGCTGCCTTCGCAGCTTAGCTCATGTCTGGTGGGAGCACCGCGTGAACAATGAGCGTGTTCGACGTCGCGTATTTGGTGCAGGAAGAGCGAGTGAACCGCTAAGCACCATTATATCACACACCAGGCTCCGATGGCTGGGCCACGTGTTGCGCATGCCAGCACACCGATTCCCGCGACATGCATTGTTTGCGCGTTGTGGGTGCAGTTGGAAGAGGAGGAGGGGAGGCCAAGTGATGACTTGGTCGAGAGAAATGAAAACCCTCACTTCGAAGTTGGCGTCGGTTGGTTCATCCCGATTGCCTGGCTGGGGTCCTAAGGACGGTGAACACGTTTGGTTGGACACACTCGCTGATATGGCATGGAGCCGACCCCAATGGCGTTTGTGTTGTGATTTCCTTTGTCCATCCCCCTCCTGCTTAGCATCCCCCTCCAATCATGATCTTATTTGATAGGTATAATATGACTTGCTTTTAGAGCAGCCAGCTGTTAGCTCTCTGGAACGATGTCCATCCGTTACTGGGGACTCAGCGGGCGTGCCACCGTTTGTTTTCCTTTTCTTGTCTTTTGTATTGCGGCACAATAGCTGAGGTGTTTTCCACCTCCAGCTAACGTGTAATGATGATGATGATGAAGGCTATTGAGCCAAAGGCTCCGGGCGGCGTCCCTCAAGCATGCCTCCGTTGCACAACCGCCACCTCGCGTGCGATTGCCCACCAATGTAATCGTATGTCTACGCGCAAGGCATTCAGCATCGGGTGCTGGGACGTGCGCGCACTACTGGACCGGAACTCGTGTGAGCGCCCCGAGCGACACACTGCATTGGTCGTGTTGGAACTGGCGCGTTGCCACATTAATATTGCGGCGCTCAGTGAGACTCGACTTGCTGAGCAAAGGTAGCTTGCATGAAGCATGTGCTGGCCACACACGTACTACTGGGTGGGCAACGCCGCCTCAGCACCTCATGATCATGGGCTCGGATTTGCAATCTCCGATCGCCTAAATGGCCAGCTGGTGGTTGAACTAACCGGCATCAGCGAGCGACTCATGACTGTTCGCCTGCAACTCGGAAAATGTAAGTTTGTCACTTTTATAAGCACGTACGGTCCGACCATGTGTTATCCATGATGACACGCGTGATCAATTTTCTGCTCAGATATCCTCCGTATTATGGTCTGTGCCGAGGATCGACCTACTGTTTTTGCTGGGTGATTTCAACGCGCGCGATGGGGTGATGCATCGGTGGGGTTAGATGTTATCGGTCCGCATGGCATTGATTCAGCGAATGTGAACGGTGATAGGCTGCTCTCACTGCATGCCACTCAGGGTCCGACGACCACGAACACTCGTTTTGCACTGAGTATGAGTGATATAGTAAGCTGGACGCACCCACAGTGTGCTCACGCTCACTTGCTCGACTATGTCATCGTAGGTTATCGTGATATGCGTGAAGTACGCATGACATGTGTACTGCGTCGAGCTGTGTGTCACTTGTCATAAATTAATGCGGACCAAACTGTACATATATTTTCGTAAATTTATATATTGCACTCCCGCCGTGAATCGGCGTAAATTTAGCGTTTTCCCCCTTGGTACCGTGACGAAACATATTGAGCTGCAGAATGTGATGGCTGCACGCCTGTGTGATGTGGGCTGCATAGCCACAGTGGGCAATCTGTGGCACCCCATTCACGATCAGGTGACAGTTGCTGCCGAGGAGACCATCGGGCGCGCAAACTGTAAGCGGCCTGGTTGCTTCGGTGAGAACATTGCGACGACTGGTGTGTGAGAAGAATTCAGCATGGCTGTACATTTAGCAGACCGCAGTGAGTTGGTGAAGAGAAGTCAATTTCGCAAAATTCGCCGGCGACTGATCCGAGAGCTCTGTCGCATTAAAAATGCATAGTGGACGGGGAAGACGAAGCAGTTGGAATGCTACACCGAACACCGCCAACGCAAGAAATTCTGACTTCTTGAAGACGGTGTATGGATCGAGATTGGAGCCGCTGAGGAATCTGATCGATGGTAGTTCAGGCGCTACCTGCACACAGACTGCAGACATAATGCAGATCTGGCAGAAAAACTTTGACTGTCTCTTGAACAACTGTTCTGAGATTGACTGGCCTACATTGAACGGCCTGAAGCAGCACGATGTGAAGACGAGTCTGGCGGAAACGCCGACACTGGATGAGACGCAGAGAGCACTTGCTCAGCTGTGAAACGGCAAGTGTGCAGGAGCCGATGGGAACCCGCCTGAAGTATTGAAACACGGCGGACCCGCCTTGGTGACTGCGCTGCACTACTTGGTGCAACGTGTATGAAATGAGGAGGATGTGCTTTTTGAGTTGAAGGTTACCCTTGCGCTACCACTGCACAAGGACAAAGGTAGCAAGCAATTTTGTACGAATTATCGTGGTATTAACTTGCTGAGTTGTATGGGCAAGGTTATTGCCCAAATCCTGCTCAACCGCGTCGTCAGTCAGGTTGTGGAACCGAACGTGGCGGAAGCACACTTTGTATTGCGTTCGTGTGGCAGCACCACCGATAGGATTTTTGCGACTCGTCAATTGCAGGAGAAGTGCAGTGAGCGACACCAGCCGTTGTACTTGCCTTTTGTTGATTTCACCGAGGTATTTGCTACGGTAAGCGGTGAGGCATTGTGGCTGCTGTTGGGTAAGTTTGGTTGCCCGCGTAAGTTTGTAAGTGTAATTGAATGTCTGCACAGTGGTATGCGAGCGAGGGTGCAGCTGGGTGGAGAGACCTCGGATGACTTTGTAGTTGTCACTGATGTGAAGCAAGGCTGTGTCAGCTGCTGCCCTTTTTAGTACATATCTTCGTGCAATGATTTCTTGTGCTTTTGATGCCGCTTGTGCTTACGGTGTTCGTGTGGAGCACCGTATTGATGGTGGGTTGCTGAACATTCGTCGTTTCGGTGCGAGAACTCTAGTCTGTGAGACAATTATCTGTATGTTGCTGTTTGCTGACGACTGTGCGTTGTTTGCGCACAGCGCGGATGAGTTGCAGCACATGACTAGTGCCCTGGCTTCGACAGCGGCTAAATTCGGGCTCACCGTGTACACAAGCAAAACTGTCTGTCTCTTTCAGCCTTCACCGGCGGTGCACTCTTCAATATTGCCGCGAATCAGCATTATTGCTGAACTATTAACATCCACCTCCCTCCTCCGCTGTCTTGAGAGTGTGATGTTGATTGACCAGCAGATGCTCAGTGAGCTGCGTATTCACGTACCGAAGGCAGCGTCGGCATTCACAAAGCTAGAGTACCGAGTGTGGAACAACCATCAGCTTACCGTTGGCACGAAGCTGATGGTGTACAAATGTATTTTGCTATCTATTATTCTGTACGGCAACAAAATGTGGACGATGTACCGGAGAGATATGCTCAATCTCGAATGGTTCCAT